AAAAGAGCAGTTTCTGTCAAGAGCTCTCTCAGCCCCGCCTACCTCACAGGGTGTCTGTTGTGGGGAGGGGAAGGGAAAGGAGTTTGTTAGCTGCTCTGAGACTCCTTTGGGTAGTGAAGGGCGGGGTATAGATCCAGTCTCTTCTTCTTCTTCTTAAATGCGCCTCCCCTCTTCCCCTCGCCAGCCAGATGAGCAGAGAGTGGGTTTATAGTTTAACTCCCCTCTCTGGAGCCACACTGCAGTGGCAGCACAATTTCTCCACTGTATCCATTCAAACCCACTCTCTGCTCAGCTGGCAGGCGGGGGGAAGAGAGGGGCTGCTGCGTGGCCTCCGCTGCTGAGGCGGAGTCTTCTTCCTGCTAGTAAGCAAGGAGAAGACTCTGCTGGCAAGGGGGGGGGAGGAAAATCTTGTGGGGCTGTCCCCTAAGGGAGGGGGCTGAGCCCCCAGTAGCTCCACTGTACTTACGGGCCAGTGTATGTGCACTATTAGTGGCGGTGGAACACGTCGCTTACTCACACCTGACTTGTGGCAACCTGGGAGGGTTTTCAAGGCAAAAGACATTCAAGAAGAAGAAGAGATTGGATTCATACCCTGCCTTTCACTACCCAAAGGTGTCTCAGAGCGGCTTACAAACTCCTTTCCCTTCCCCTCCCCACAACAGACACCCTGTGAGGTAGGTGGGGCTGAGAGAGCTCTTGACAGAAACTGCTCTTTTTCAAGAACAGCTCTTGTCAGAACCACGGCTTGCCCAAGGCCATCCAGCCAGGTGCAAGTGGAGGAGTGGGGAATCAAACCCGGTTCTCCCAGATTAGAGTCTGCGCACTTAACCACAACACCAAACAGGCTGGTTCGCCCTTGCCTGCCTCTGCATAGTGACCCTGGACGTCCTGGGTGGTCTCCCATCCAAGGACTCACCGGGGCTGACCCTGCGTGACTTCCCAGACCTGATGAGACGGGGCTTCCCTGTGCCATCCGGGCTATGCGTATTATTACCCCTGAGCAAAGAGCCTTATTCAAGAAGGTAAATAAAAAGACCTTCTAGTCTGATTAGCTTCTCCAGGCCTCTTTCCACAAAGCCAGACTGTTACACGCTTGAGCAATTTGGGGTGTGTGTGTGTGTGTGTGTGTCTGGGCCAACGAACAATCTGATCTGGCCTTGTGTTAACCGAAAGGGCGAAGCAGTTCCTACAAAGCTGTGAATCTGGAGTGGCTTAAAGTCCTGAACGGACAAGATGTCTCGAAGACCACAGCATTCGACGCCCGCTCTCCTGCGGGTTGCTTATCTCGAGTACCCGCAACTGCCAAACTGCGGCTTGCAGACTGCATTCAGCGCCTGGAGACTGCAAACCTTACTCTTATGTGCAAGTCTTCCAATTCTTCCCCACCCGCAGGGATCTTCAGAACTGGGCTATAGTTGAAGGTGAGGAGGTTGTAGTGAGGGGTACAGGAAGAGGAGGAGAAAGCATGTGAGTGCTGGCAAGCCGTGCTGGGAAATGAACAAGACTGGGTTGTGGGGAATGCATCATCCGGGTCTCTTTCAGGCTAAGCAAGGAATTGGGGGCGGGGGGGGGCATCAGACAGCACTGGAGCAGAGCCAGGGAGAGGAGGAAACTAAGGGGACAACATCCAAGGGGCTCCAGTCACCCAAGGAGGCCCACTGAGCTAGAAAAGACACAAGAGTTGTTTTCCTCGAGGGAGTCTCTGATAGGGTTCAGGGTAGGGTTGCCAAGTCCATCTTCCACCCCCAGCGGGGGACTTTGGGGGCGTTCCTGGAGGGGGCGGGGCATCCCCAACGTGATGACATCACGTTGGGGACGTCCACCGCCCCCTCCCCCCGCCCGTGCGCCGGATCTCCAGAAACGGCAGTTCCCTGCACTTAAAGGAGCCGGCGTTTCCCTTTTAAATGCAGGAGCCGGCGTTTCCCCTTTAAGAGCAGCCGCGTTTCCCTTTTAAGAGCACGAAGCTGGCATTTCCCTGCAAGCTTGCGGAGATCCGGCTTGGGAGGAAGCACGGGTTCCACACACTTAAAGGGAGAGAGATGGGTGGCCGTGGGTGTTGGGAGCAGGGTTTCCCCGCCGGCCGGGTAGAACCCCCCCAAACCGGGGGACCCCTGGCAAACCGGGGGGGGGTTGGCAACCCTAGTTCAGGGGGTGGGTGGGCTCTCAGCAGCCTTGCAGTGGAGCAGCAGAGGGAAAATGTCGGACTGAAATGTGGATGACGAGTCTGAAGTCTTGGAGCTCCTGGTGGTTCCATTCCTTTGGAAGGTAGCTTACGGAGGAAGGGAACTTTGGCGCCTCAGTCCTATGTCAGCTAATGGTGGCAATTCACACATGCAAATAAACGAAGGGTTCTCAAATTGGTCTATATGGTAAAAGCTCCAGCAATCTCTTGCCAGTTGCTTGTAACAGATATGACATCGCTAATGAAGGCGGTGGGGGGGGGGGAGGTGACAGAGGGAAGGCAAGGCTGCTAGAAAAGAAGATTCATTCACTCAAAGAGAAAGGCTAACCCTGTGCATTCTGAAGAAAAACAAGCATGCTAAATAAACGACAGCAAACACTAGCTGTTGTAGATTTTCCGTGTCGCGTGGCCGTGGTCTTGGCACTGGAGGACCTGACGTTTCGCCAGCAGCTGCGTTTCCTACAATGCCAAGGCCACGGCCATACGACACGGAAAATCTACAACAGCTAATGAACTCCGGACGTGAAAGTCTTTGACGACAGCAAACGCTCATTTTAGAAGCAGAAGGACGAGGGAACAGGGTTGTAATTTTAACATCTGTGGGGTTTTGACCATTTTTGCACTTGCACTTTATTATACGACACCGCCACATTTAAATGGTTTTAACTCTATTTAATTGGAAAAAATGAGCTGAGCTATTTTATTGAGTTGTATTTTATGTATGTATTTATGCTGGTTTTATAACTGTTGTAAGCCGCCCTGAGCCGCTTTGGCAGGAGGGCGGGATAGAAATCTAACGAATAAATAAATATTTTTTTAATTGTATTGTTCATTGGGGAGGGGCCATGGCTCAGTGGAAGAGCCTCGGCTTGGCATGCAGAAGGTCCCAGGTCCAATCCCCGGCATTTCAACTGAAAGGACCAGGCAGGAGGAGATGGGAAAGACCTCGGCCTGAGACCCTGGAGAGCGGCTGCCAGCCTGAGTAGATGATACCAACCTCGATGGACCAAGGGTGAAAAGTACCAGGCAGGAGGTGATGGGAAAGACCTCGGCCTGAGACCCTGGAGAGCGGCTGCCAGCCTGAGTAGATGATACCAACCTCGATGGACCAAGGGTGAAAAGTACCAGGCAGGAGGTGATGGGAAAGACCTCGGCCTGAGACCCTGGAGAGCGGCTGCCAGCCTGAGTAGATGATACCAACCTCGATGGACCAAGGGTGAAAAGTACCAGGCAGGAGGTGATGGGAAAGACCTCGGCCTGAGACCCTGGAGAGCGGCTGCCAGCCTGAGTAGATGATACCAACCTCGATGGACCAAGGGTGAAAAGTACCAGGCAGGAGGTGATGGGAAAGACCTCTGCCTGAGACCCTGGAGAGCTGTAAAGAGGGGCCATTCAGTACAAGGCAGCTTCATGTGTTCGTTGTGTGTATTATACCGTTTTTACTGCCTTGTTTCCCAAATTTCTCATCCTATTTTATTTCGCGGTTGTTATGTATGACACTGCTGTTTTTGCACTCTCTAATTCTGTACTCAGGTTTTCATGCCCTGCCTTTATGTATCGCAGTGTTTTGACTGCACTGTCTTTTAAACTGTGCGATCCATTGCAGCCTCGGCAAGCATGAGAGGCTACAAATTAAGCAAGCAGATAAATTCTCTCTGAAGAACGAATGAAGCCGGCCTTTGGGCTGACAAGCTGAACTACCTTGGCTGAAGAAGCGTCAAGTCCAAAAATGGTTAGTGGGGCAAAAAAGCCAGCCCGTGCAACTACCAGGTGGGACTTTATGCCCGGATACCTACTGACAGAGACCAGGCCAACAGCCACTGTTTCCAGTCTAAATTAGTCATTTATAGTCACTCACAGGTGCCTCGGTTCGTGAATGAGAAAAAGACAATCTGGGAAGCCAAATTACCATAGAGTCTTCAATTTCAGATTCTCATGTGTGTCTTTCCAGAGCGACCTTGGGTCTTTGCGACAATTTCTGCTTGGGGGAATGGCCATGCAAATCCCACACCTTACTCTGAGGTTAAGACACTGGAGAATGGTTCA